CACACACACACAATGAACAGAGGCTTGTGAGAGTTCAGAGAGCAAAGCCATACAACTCACCCAACAGAGACAAAGACACCATGAACTAACAGGGTATGAGGATAATAGATGACCCATAATGAATGTACTGTCCCATCCACATCCTAAGTGGGTTGCATATCACCATCAGTCAAACACACACTCAACCTTCTCCTCCCTCTGAGATCTCAATCCTGTCTTTCTTTTTTCTCTTTTTTTTTCTTTTAAATACTTTTCTTCCTCTTTTGGCTGAATGTAATTATTTGATTATTGCCACCTTGGATTTGAAAAATGAATCTTTGTTTGCTGCATCTGATATTATTTCGAGTTAATAAACTATTGTTATTGTTCTTATATACAAATCTGGTGTGATGTGATTATTTGTTATATGTTACATGTTATATATGGACAAGAGTTACAGATAGATGGGAGGAGAAGTGTGGAGAGCTAAATTAATCTCATTGGATTCCATGTAGTGTTTTATGGTTATGGCCAGATAATGAACTATTACATTCACCTCTTTCAACACCATTTACTACTGGACATTCACATCATGGAGCCTGCTGCAATTAACTCCCTGACATGACGACATCATCATTATTAAGTTATTACCAGAGCAAAGGACAGCAGTTGAGCCCTACTTACTGATCCTACAGCAGTAGGTATTTCATTTTTCCATGACATCATCACCCCCGGGGAGCTCAGTAATCCATTTGGTGGGTTGAGAGAGAGGGAGAGAGATAGGGGAGGGAAATATCAGAGCAGGACGTGATGGAGTTCTAACAAAGGCTGGTGTGTGTGATCATCACGGTTTTGAGTACATGGACCCTGCAGACAGCTCTGGTTTGTTAGAGTGTGATTAAGGTGCTCCTTGATGAGGTTTGAAATAAAAAGAAACACTTTCTATATGAAACACTAAAGAAATTAATGGTCTGAGAATGAGCAGAATGAGAAAAGTCTAAGTTAGTTCCTGATGTCTTGGTAATGTGGAGTAGATCTAAATTGAAATATAACAACAGTGTTTGTTGCAACTTCACCCTCCCCTTTTGAAGCGTGAAGGAGGTGGCCTTGAAATGTTTTAGGAATTTTGAAATGTAATTTTAGATTTTCATGAAATATTTTAAGAACATAAGCTACATGTTGAGTGTCCTGCATAGGTGAAACTGTAAGTTTTAAAGAAAGCCAATGTAGGTGCCGCTAAACTGAACAATGACGTTGTGTGAAAACATGCTTTCTCCACTCTCTTCTTCTTCTGCAACAAGTGTCGCGCTGAAGTCCCGTGGGATTTCACTTGTTGGAGGGAAACGCACGAAGAAGAAATTGTTGCAGGAAGTGTGAA